AACTACATATAATAAATGATAGTATATTAAATATAATAAAAAAATTATTTTCCTAAAAGAACAAATTAAAATATTTTAAAGAACTTTAAGTCATATTATCAAGAAAAGGAATAAATAAATTTTATTGTGACACATCTATAAGCCAAAATGATTATCTGGTGGTAACCCTCATATAGAAATATATATATTTATTAAAAAATTAAAATGGTGTATGATATCATAGACCATCTTTTTAGGAGTTGTTTGATGATGAATAGTGTTGTAATTTTTGTTAAATTTGTACTTTATATTTAATTTGCATAAAGAGTTCTTTTGGATTTATTATTATAACGCATGATAAAAATGTTACATTTGAATAGTGAGAACTGAAAATAATTTAGGTTATGAATATTATTTATAAAGAAGATTGAAAAGAGTATAAAAACTCCAATTTTTACCATTCTAGATATCTTTTATAATTATTAACTTTTTGTATTTTATCTTTATTTTTATTTTTATTAATCTTTTTTATTATTTTTACTTTTATAATTTTGTTAATTTGATAATGTTATAATTTTGAATAAAGAATTAAATTGCATGATTTTGTGATTCCTAATTATTATTAATTTCTTTTTTATATATATATTTGTTTTCTATTTTTATAATTAGGTCCCAAAAGTCCCACATTCAACAAATAGAATTAATTTCAATTTCGGTCTAGCAGAAAATATTGGTTTAACGATTCGGCTCAGATTCGATTTTGATCGATGGTTTTACTTCTTATTTATTTTTTAAAACTAATCTTGATGTTTTATAAATTTTTAATTCAAAGTTTTCAATATTCTACCTGCTGTTTCAGCTGAAAATAATTTTTTATAGTTTGTGATGAATAAATAAATAAAAATTAGTAAGAGTTAATTAAAGATATATCACAAAAAAATAAGTAAAGGCGATCTATGTACAATGGTTTTTAAGCATGAAAGACATAATACATAACTAGATGTGTGAAAATATTTTATAATTCCGGGAAGAACCGGATATGAATTAATATTGTAATAACAGATAGGTTATTTAAGAGAACAGGCAAATTTCAGAAGGGGATGAGAAATTTCCCCTGCTTCCGCCGTGCTCCGCATATTCTAACGAGATTTAAATTTAAATACTAGAAGAAAATAAACTATAGATAAAATGGAAAAGTCTAATATATCGGTCTCTACTCTCTAGGTTAATCATCCTTTTATTTCTATTTAACCTTCTGAATCACTATCGGTTCATCCTTTAATCAATTCCTGCACAAGTAACCATGTTACCTTGCGAATTATATCCTCCTCTCTATTATGTCCTTCTATTATCAACATTTGACCCACCCCCATCCCCCCATCTTTCAAGGTATTTAATCTAAAATCTTTTGCTAGTAGGACCTCCTTTTATCATATGGGATGCCCAAAATAACTCTGTGTATTTTTGATAACGTGAATATTTTGATAATAGTGAATCTCATGATATTATTTGTAATTTTCATGGCTACAATTATACAATATATATGTATAATAATGATGTCACAATATTTAGAAACAAATTTGAGGCAATTAGACTTATTTTATGAAAGTTGGTCATCAAGGTCTACTGAGCTCAATTTTTTGTCTTTATACAATCATAATAATGAGCCATTTAAAATAAAAATGCTGGATATAAATTTTCGTGGTTGTAAATATCGAAATAAATATACTTAATATCACACCGATGCATACCAGACCGAGTTTCTACAAGTTGAAACTAAAAATTGAGGTCGGTAGACTTGAATTAATATTTTTAGTTATAATGTAACGAGATTTTATAGAAATGAATCAGAAAATAAAAATTTTGGTAATTTCAGCCAAAAACAAATGTAATATTATTTAGAAAGCTTGGATGGATAAACAACTGAGAAAATCAAAAAAATTTGAATCCTTTATGTGTTTGCCAAGGAAAAGAAAACTCATAATGGGATTTTATTAGGGTGTGTTTTAGAAAGATGAGATCAGAGCCAATAACATTCGACACAAATAATTAATCAATATAATTAAGGCGTTCATGGTTTAGATCATCCTTAAATAGATAAAAATCTAACTGATATAAGCAAGAATAATTAACGTAGTATAATATTTTTGTAAATTTAATATTATACCTACTAAACCTTCCACTAGTTATTTGAAAAAAATATATATAACCTGAATAAGTTATGATATATAAACTGAATAATTTTTATGAAATAGAGACTAGATGTTTACAAAAAATTCTTTATGAAAGTTAAAAATGCTAAAAAAAAGAAGTATGCACATAAAAATATAATCTATTAAATATTAATTTAAGTAGTAATTTAATCACATATATTTTCTTTCTTTTTTTTTATATACGTTGGTTTGTCAAAAATATAAATCATATCCAATCTTATATCATTATAATAAATTTCAATATAATTATATTCAACCCTTAAATGGGGCCCTGAATGGAAAAAAAACTGTCTAAAAACTTTTGAAAAAAATAGAACAAATATATCTTAGTTAATTTATCTAAAAGTAGACTAAATCTTTGACTGAAAATATCTTTTTTAAAATTTTAAATAAAAAAGACATTAAATATAATTTATATATACTTTTCTAATAAAATAAAAAAAATTTTACATTTCTGCAAGCACATATCAACAATAATAATGATTTAACATTAATGAAAATAGATAGTACTAATTTATGCTATATAAACTTTTCTAACAGACATTGATCTAAATATATATTTTGAATTTGTATAAATAACTCAATACAACATATTTTTACAGGTTAATTGATATCGTATGTATTTATCTAGCTTATAAATTTTAAATCCTAGTGATTCTTCTTTATAACAATATTTTATATCCCATACTATAGAAGACACAAATAATACACAACCTTGTAAAATTTTTGTATCATGCAATCATTCAAACGATAAACTCAGATTATTTGGAAATTATAAATAAAAGGATATATCAATAGAGTATATAAAAGTTTTAATTAGTATCAAATCTGAGGCAACTATATATTTTAAGTCGGTCATCAGGGATTAACACCTAGATCATTTTCTCACCAAGAAATTGAATCAATAAATATAGAAATGCTAGATATAAATCTTAGCGAAAATATTAAAGTAATTAATGACGGGCTTTTAACAATTTATGGGGCGCATTAAGTATTATTGGATGTAAATATCGAATGAAGTTCATATCAGACTGATGAAAACTACTAGTTATTACATGTATGAGACTAAGAGGTCGATAAACTAAAACAAATATATAGGTTAGGTTTAGGATATATTCATATCATGAAAAAGTTTCTATTTCACTCGTATCTCCTAATTTTACTCTAAGGCCTCATTTATAGTAAACGCGTTTTCTTCAAGCATATAATATAACCCAGCGTTGTTAAAAAATAAAGCCAATAAATAGGTATACATTTATAAATTTAGAGCTTTATGATGATAATGCTATGATAAAATATAAAAAAATATGTGAGATGCATTGATAAAAAAAAATAATAGCGAATTCGATAAAATGGTATAATTTTTTTAATAATATATAAAATCTATTTTAGCTTTATCTTAAATTAGCTGTAATAACGCTGCTTTAAATAGTGCAACTTTGAGGATAATGCATTTACTATAAAACCGAAATGATCAGATTATTACAGCTGAAAGGTCAAAAATTAGGAAGTACCAAGAATTTCCTGATTTTAACTTTATCCCATTAGTTATTTCTACCAATGGGTTCTTAGGCCCTCTAGACTATTATTTTCTAAGATTTTATTAAAAAAATATCTCAAATTAATGGTTATCATGGATCCTCATGTTACAATCAACTCAAATCGCCCTTGAGATAACTATTTTAGTATCTCAATGAAAGCCAGTTTTTGCCCCCCCCCCCTTCAACTATTTTTTAAAAAATAATTCTTATTTTTTCCTTTTTCAAATTGTTTATTTAATTTTTTTACATGATTTTAAGGTAGTTTTATATATTATGCTATTTATTAATATATTCGATATTAATAGTTAGAAAAGTAAAATTATGGCATTCAGGAAGTTTTTAAACAATCTTTAAATGGATAAAAATTAAATATAAGCCATATAATTAATAAAATATAATGTTTTTATTAAATTATTATTTTACCTGCTACATCAACTAGTTATTTGAAAAAATAATATTTAGATTATAATATACACATAAATAAGTTTGAAATGAATATTAGGAATGTATGAAATAAAGAGTAAATATTTACAAAGATTCTGGTTATATTTAAAAAAACTAAAGAAAAGTATTTGTAGTATATTCTAAATACATTTTCAAAATCGAATCTTACATTGGAATAAGTTAAATTCTTTTTATATCTAAGAAAGTGCTAAAAAAGAATTTGCAATAACTTAAAATTTAATATCATATATAAATAATTCAAATAAGTTTCAGTTTATTATATTCATCCCTCTACTGCAGCCTCTAATGGAATAAAATACTGAATAAACACTTTTGAAAAAATATGGATCTATAGATCAAATCATCATGACTAAAAATATCTTTTCCAAAATTATAAATAATATTTTTATTGCTCATTCGCACAAAAGAGAAGGGTAATAATATAATGATTTTTATTAAGTTTCATATCAAAATGTGTGAACTACTATTCTATTTAACCATAAAACTCTACGATGATAAAATTATTTGGAAATTTCATATATTAAAAAATCAAAATATAATTGTTTGGAAACTGAGCGATCACCAACAGAGTTACTGACGAAAATATGGATTCATTATGATATACTAATAAAATAAAAACCTTTAAATAAGAATTTGATTAGTGCATTTATTAGAAAGATGAGATCATAGCCTATTACATTCGAGATTAAAAATTAATATAGATACGGCGTTCAGTAGGTTTTTTAACCATCTTTAAATGGGTAAAAATAAAATATGGGCAAGAATAATTAATAAAATATGATATATAAATTTATTATTATACTTGCTGCACTTTCAACTAGTTATTTGGAAAAATAATATTTAGCTTATAATATACATCTAAATAAGTTAGAAATGAAAATTAGAAATGTATGAAATAAAGAATAAGTATTTACAAAAATTCTGGTTAAATTTAAAAAACAAAGAAAAGTATTTGCACAAATGGTGGTTATATTAAAAAAACTAAAGAAAATTATTTGGTAGTATATTCTGGAATTTCCAAAATCGAATCTTATATCATTGGAATAAGTTAAATTCTTCTTATATCTAAGAAAGTGCTAAAAAAGGAATTTGCAATATATTCGAATAAAATTTAATAAACGCACATATATAATTGAAATAAATTTCAATAGTTATATACATTCCTCTACTGCAGTCCCTAATGAAAAAAAAATATTGAATAAAAGCACTTTTGATAAAAATAATTATAAATATATTTTAATTGATTTATCTGCAGATTAAATCTACATGACTAAAAATCTCTTTTCCAAAATTATAAATAATATTTTTATTGCTCATTCTCACAAAAAAAGAAGGGTGATACTATAAAGATTTTTATTAAGTTACATATTAAAATGTGTGTACCATTCTATTTAATCATAAAACTCTGCGATGCTCTAGTAAATAAATCTGAAATGCAAGTTAGAAATGTATGAAATAGAATAAGTATTTACAAAAATTCTCGGTATATTTGAACAAGTATTTTAACCATCATTAAATGGATAAAAATCAATTATGGGCAAGAATAATTAATAAAATATGTATAAATTTATTATTATACCTGCTGCACTTTCGACTAATTATTCAAAAAAAATAATATTTAGCTTATAATAATGATAATTAGAAATGTATGAAATAAAGAGTAAGTATTTACAAAAATTCTGGTTATTTTATAAAAACTAAATGTATTTGTTGTATATTCTAATTGAATTTTTAAAATCGAATCTTATATAATTTGGAATAAGTTTCAGTATAATTAGCATCCCTTTACTAGACTACATTGAAATTTAAAAAAACTGGATAAATATCAGAATTTATATATTTAAAAGGTATATTAAATCTTATAGACTAAAATCTCTTCTGAAAATTTGAAATAAAATATTTGTAGCTCATTATCATAAAAAGATTTATAATACTCTAGAGTTAGATATTAATTTAATATTCAATAGTGTAACCACAATTCAATTCAACCATATAACTCTACCATTCTCTGGTTATTAATCCGACAAAATTTAAGAAGTTAAAATATATATGGATATCTTAATCACCCAACAGATAACCTTATATAATAATACATACTTACTTTTCTCTATGTGAAATAATATATCTCTACAATTCCGGAATACCAATATCAGCAATAATAATGATTAGTTGTATCATATGTCTAATAAAAGAAAACCCTTAAAAATGAGAGATGAGATCTTCCGATCCAAGCAAATTACTGGAAGTATAATTAAGATGTTCAAGAAGTTTTTTGACCTTTCTGAAATAGATAAAAATTAAGTATATATTATAAATTCTATATTTACCTGCTACACCTTCAACTAGTTATTTGAAAAAAAAATATACATCTGATAATATAAATAACAAATAGGTTATGAAATAAAAGCCACAAATTATTTTATGAAATAATGACTAGAGATTTGAAAAAACCTTCTTATAACTAAAAAATTGCAAAAAAGAATTTGTAATACATTCGAAAAAATTTAATATCGTTCGGCTCAAAACGAGCCATTTAACAACACTACTTAAAATCATATATCATCGTCTTCTTATAACAATTTAAAATGTTTTCATAAAATAAAACTGTCGTGATTAGTCATTTTAATTTACGCAAAAACGAATGTAAGTGATATAATTAATAAAAAAAATATATAAATTCTATCACGATAAAATATAAGCAAAACTAAAATTCTAAATCAGGCATAAGACTAAAATATATTTATATATAACATTAATAGATAAAGTTAAAAGATACTTTAAAAGAAAAGTTAATTTTAAACCAATAAAAAATTACGTTAAATCAAAATGTCTTTAGAATTTGATAAACAAAATTTCGACCATTAAAATATAATGTAGTGAAATTTTAGGAACAGAAAAAAAAAAAATCAAAATATAATTTTTGGCAATCATAGATTTAAAAAAACAAAGGTAATATTGTTCGAAATGTGAACAATATGGATTTCTAAAGATGGAATATTACTAGGAAAATAAGGCCTTTAAGAATATCGGGATTTTATTAGAATATAGTAGAAAGTATTTATAGATTAATGTCATACCTGCTACACTATCGACTGGTTATTTGATAAAAATAAGTTATATCTATCAAAATAAGTTATGAAATATAAAATAAGAAAATTATTATGAAATGACGACTAGATTCTTATAAAATATTCTTAATATTATCTAAATAAGTTTTAAATTTTTTTTTACAATATATTCAAACTATAAATTTAAAATCGAAACCTCATTGAAATAAATTTCTGTATAATTTTTCTCATCCCTCCACTGGAGTCACGAATGAAAAATAAACCAAACAAACAATAAACTTGATATAAACAGGACAATATTCATCTAAAATGCATAATAAATCTACTTGACTAAAAATTTAATTTTTAAAAATTATTCCCTGAATGTCTTCCTCTCTCCACTATTTAATATTATTTTTTTTTACCAGCTACTTCCTCACCTAAAATTATACATAAATATTTTAAAAAATTAATTAATTCATTTATTAAAATCTAAAAAAACATTCAAAATCTACATCTACCATATTATTTACTCATTTTTAAAAAAAAGAAGAATAATACTATAAAGATGTGTATATTGAGTTCTAATTCAAAATGCATTAACCTCTTCAACAACCAATTTAACCATAAAATTATACTACACTCCTAATATGAATCAAGTACATTTTGTGTGGAGTCTCATACTCATATTTCAACCAAAAAACTTTATCAACATTAAATATAATGCAATAAACTTTCTTAAATATGAAATAAATTTTCTTTACATTTCCAGCATATTATCAAAAATAATATTGATTTAACATCAATAGTAATATGTAATATTACTTTTCAATATAGACACATTTACACTTTTCTTGATTACTTTATAGTGTTGTTAAACGGCTCGTTTTGAGCCAATTTTTTAAAACGGCTAACTCAATATTTTAGCTAGAAAAATATTGCCTAAGCCTGGAGATTTCGATAACATATGTATAGATCTTTCTTCATTCTATGAGCAAAATTTTCAGGCTTGCATAATATTTTTCTGGATGAAATATTAAGTTCGCCGTTTTTTAAAAATCGGCTCAAAACGAGCCTTTTAACAACACTATTACTTTGTGATATCAAATGTTGATTTATGCCAAATAACTTTTAACAAATTTATTGGTCCAACCTATCTTAAAAATGTTAAAATAACTCAGTAACACATATTTACTATTCTCAGTAGAGATCTGCAAAGTGAGGCTTGGCCCGTACCCGGCCCGAGTCGGGCCTAATTCTATTTAAAATAATTGGACTCGGGCCGGACCCTAATATATTTAAAAAAAATTCGAGCCGGGTCGGGTTGGACCTTGCAATTTTTAAAAATATATCCAAATTTATCAAGTTTATTTTAAATTTTTTATGTAAAATAAAAATATTTGATTTTATTTATTGAAACTAAACGACATATAACATATGTCTTTTATTTTAAGTAATTATAAAAATTAATTTCTATATTTAAAAAAATTCGGGCCAGGCCGGGTCGAAAAAATTTCGGGCCGGGCTTTAAAAATTAGGCTCGATGTAGATCATAATTCTCCGGTTACCTGATATCGCAAGTATTTTATCTGACTTAATACTAATTCTGGCAATGTTCTTTCAACTGTTTGTTAGTAATATCATATAAACAGAAGATACAAATAAAAACACCAAAAATATATTGGTTAAATTTATTTATACAACTCCTAGAGCCTTGGAAATTCTGATATTAATTAAAATTAAGAATTAACTTAAATCTCTTAAATAATTGGGGAAATATAAGGAAAAATATATAATAAGAATATGTGAAAATTATATGGATATATTTATTATAGTAAATTATGAAACAAATTTGAGACAACTAAACGTTTTTTTATTAAATTGAGTCATCAGGGCTTAGCATTGAGATTATCATTTGTTCTTTATGCAATTCAAATTCTGAGCCATTAAGGATAGAAATGCTTGATATAGGCTTACGCGGAACTTTCAAAGAATAAAATTCAGATAGATTTTTCTAACAATTAATGGAAGCATGTAGAATTTATTGAGGGCTTCATATATCGAAATACGTTTACATAATATCCCACTGATACATTTTATAACAGGTTTCTAAACATATGGGACTAAATATTAAGATCACTCGAAATAATATTTTGAATATATATAATATGAAGAGATTTTACGTACAGAAAAAAAATGAATAAGAAAATATTTTTTGAGAGATTGATGACCAACCATCATATCCGAAAAATATGAATTCCTTATGAGTTTGCTTAGGAAAATAAAACTTTTGAAAAATAAATGGATATGATTATGATCTGTAATTTAGAAAAATGGCTGTGACTAGCTTTTGATATAATGGTGAGGTGACTCAAGACGCGCGGTCAATACCTATGAATGCGAGATAATATTTACTATATTTTGTATATATCGTGGCGAAATCGTGATCGCGCTAACTATGAATTCAAGGCTAGAGAAATGAGATTTGAAACCGAACAAAGATAATTAATACTGTATGACGTTTAAATGTATAACATTAGATATAGCAATGACAGAAATAATTCATAAAAAAGTAATTAAATTTAATTTTATACTTGCTACAGTATCGACTAGTCATTTATAAAAAAAATGATTTATATTTTTAAATAATATAAAAAAATAAATTATGAAATTAAAAATAAAAATAAAAATAATAATTGTTATGAAACGAAGATTAAATAAATTCTTATAAAATATATTAATTCATTATTATCTAAGAAAATTAAATAAGCTTTAAAAAAGGTGTTTGCAATATATTCAAACTGAAATTATTTCATTTAAATAAATTTATGTATAATTTACTCCTCCACTGGAGCCCCGAATGAATAAAAATCAAATAATAATAAACTTGAATTTAAACAAGACCAAATATATTAATTCAAAATATAAAATAAATCTATTGACTAAAAATTTAATTTCTTAAATCATAATAATATTTTTAACATCTGAATTTTCATTTTTCCTTAAAAATGCCCTATTTCTCTCTACGCCATCTATAAAATATGATATTATTTACCAGTTTCTTCAACACCTATAATTATATATATTAAGTTGAAAAAATTAATTAATTCAAAAACATTTAAAATGTATTAGATCATTCTACCAACATTATTTACACATTTCATATCAAAAAAGAAGGAGCTATAAATTACATTTCCAACATATTTATATCGTAGATATTATTGATTCAGCATCAAAAATATCTTAAAGGGAGTTTTATTATCGGTTTTTCTAGTAAGATGGAGGATAATATTCAAAGTTGGATATAAAGATCTAATATTATTGGTAAGTGGTTGTACTGTATTTTTTTAAATTTTATTTAATCATATGTTTATTTCTACTCAATGGATTAAAAATTAACGATGAAATGGAAACTACTATATATTCTTATTTCATTCTATATTTTTGATGTGGTAATTCTATGGATTCAAAATAGATAAGATTACTAATTTTTTATCTCCTTTTATAATATTAATTACTAAATCTCGCTATTACAAAAGCGGAAAAAGTATGTTCCACTCATTTTTGTTAAATTAAAACTGGGTACAGGTGGGTATCCTTGAGGAAAAAATCTGCATAATTTAATGAAGGGTGGGCTTTCATAAAATACACTTTCGCTTACTTTGGGCAGGTCTAACTAACTTGATAGATAAGATGAAAGAAGATTCAGCATCCATGATAATAGATAATATTGTATTTCATTATAGGCAGATTTATACTTTTCCAGGTTTCTTTATGATATCAAATACTATTTATGCTAAATAAACTCCTTTAGCAAATGTAAGAGTCCAGCCTATTTTAAAAATGTCAAAATCAATAACATATATTCAAGGTTGTCAGGTTACATAATATCATATGTATTTTATATCTTATATAATTTAGGTTAGTGTTGCTAAACAGCATAATTTGAACCGATTTTAAAAATCTAACTCAATATTTTTACCATTAAAATATAGGTTAAACTCATAAGACTAGTAGATTTTAATGTTAACGGCTCGTTTTGGGACGAATTTTAAAACGGCTATCTCAATATTTTAGCCAGAAAATATTGTCTAAGCCTCGAGATTTCGAAAATATATGTATACACCTTTGTTTCTTCTATGAACAAAATCTTCAAGCTTGGGTAATATTTTTCTGAATAAAATATTGAGTTATGCGTTTTTAAATATCGGCTCAATACGAGATGTTCAACCCTAGTATATTTTAAACCTTTGTCCATCTATGAGTAATATTTTCAGCCTTGTGCAATATTTTTTTTAGATAATATTGATTTTGCCGTTTATAAAAATAGGCTAAAATAGAGTCTTTTAACAGCACAAAATTCTGGCAATGCTCATCGAAACAGTTTCTTATAATATCACACAATACAGATGACACAAATATAAACATCGCCTAAATGTTGGTAAGATTTATATTTACAACTCTTAAAGCCTTGGAATTATTATTATATTTGACGTAACTGTGAAAATAAAAAAAATTAAGAAGGGTTTTATAACAATTTTATGAAGCGCGTGTAGTATTGTGGGGAATATAGAAATACGATACATAATATCGCACAGATGAATACATTAACGAGTTTCTACACGTTAACTAAAAATAGAGGTCGGTAGACACAAATAGATTTTTGGGTTAGATATGATATGATTAGGAAGAGATTAAAAATGAATATGATAATAAGTTTTGAGTAATTGCTGACCAACCTTCAGATCCGATAAATATGAATTTTTTAAGTCTGCTAAGGAAATAAAAACTTTAATAAAAAAATCATTGCGACTAGGTTTTTGTATGATGGCGACTCAAGATTTATTTAAAGTTCGAGAGATGAATTGAAAAGGCAATAAAAATAATTAATGCTTTTTATGAAGTACTATTCTTAAAAATCTATAAAAATAGATATAGAAATAAGGGATAATAATTGATGATAAAATTATAATTTAATATTAAACCTGCTTCAATATCCACTAGTTATTTGATAAAATTAATTTATATCTTATAAATAATATAGCAAAATTAAGTTTTGAAATAAAAAATAAAAATTGTTTAAAAATGAAGACTAGATTCTTAGAAATACTTATTATTATCTTAGAAAGTTAAATAATTTATAATGTATTCAAACTGATAATTTTAAATCAAATATTATATCAATGTATTAAATTTCTGTATAATTTACTCCTCTCTCTACTGGAGCCCAGAAGGAAAAAAAACCAAATCAATATCAAACTTGAATTTAACCAAGACAAAGTATATTTGTCTAAAATATAGAATAAATCTACTAGAATAAAAATTTAATTTCTAAAATTATAAAAGTATTTTTATCATGTTAATATTCATTTTTTCTTAATTCCTATTTCTCTTGCACTATCTATTAAATATATAATTTACTACCTAATTCCTCATCTATAATTATACATATAAGGTTGAGATTAATAAATTCAATTATTAAAATATAAGAAACATTCAAAATTCATACGATCTTTATTCTATCACATTATTTACTTATTTTCATATCAAAAAAGAAGGATAATACGGTAAACTACCATTTCCCACATATTTATATCATCAAAATTAATGATTCAACATCAATGATAATAGATAATAATACTTTTAATTAAAGACATATTTATTTTTCCTGTTACATTTTGATATTAAAAGCTGATTTATGCCAAATAAACTCCTTTTACAAATGTGCCAGTGCAGCCTGTTTTTAAAATGTCAAAATAACTCAATAACACATATTCATAGTTGTAAAGGTTACCTGATACCATATATATTTTATATCTGACATAATTCTGAATTTTGGTAGTGATGCTAAACGATCCGATTTAAAAAAGCTAACTCAATATTTTAACCACGAAAATATTGCCTAAACATCGACAGACTAGTTGATTTCAAATCTTTGTTCCATCTATGAGGGATATCTTCAGCTTTATGCAATATTGTTATAGATAATATTGAGTTCGCAGTTTTTAAAAATCGACTCAAATCGAGCCTTTTAACAGCACAAAATTCTGGGAATGCTCATCGAAACAGTTTCTTAGTATTATCACATAATACAGAAAACATAAATACAAACACAGCACAAATGTTGGTTAGATTTACTTCTACAACTCCTCGAGCATTGAAAATTTCTACCATGTCATATTAAAATTATAAGCATTATATTTGACATAACTGTAAAAATAAAAAAATCAATAAGAATTTTAAAAAATTTATCAAACGCATATAGTATAATGCTGTGATTATCGAAATACGTTTATACATAATATCGCACCGATGCATACATTAACGAGTTTCTACAAAGTAACTAAAAAGATAGGTCGGTAAACTTTAATAGATATTGGGTTAAATAAGTTTTGAGTGATTGAATGACTAACCTTTAGATCTGAAAAATATGGATTTGTTATTAGTTTGCGAAGGAAAAGAAAACTTAAAAAAAATTGGATATGATTATCGTCTGTTATTTATGCTTTAGATAAATGCTGCTACTAGCCTTTGATTTAAACTCAAAAAGCGCTATCTCTACCTATGAATGCGAATTGATATTTATTCTATTTTATATTTATCGCAACGAAATCGCGATTTCGCTAACTATAAATTTTAGGTTAGAGAGATAAGATATGAAGGCGAATAAAAATAATTAATGCTGTTCATGGAAGTACCATCCTTAAATGTATAGCAATAGATATAGTAATGGGGGAAAATAATTTATAATAAAAGTATATAATTATTTAATTTAAAACCTGCTTCAATATCGACTAATTATTTGATAAAAATAATTTATATCTTATAAATAATATAACAAAAATATGTTGTAAATTAAAAAATAAAAATTGTTATGAAATAAAGACTAGATTCTTATTATATATACCTATTATTATCTTAGAAAGTTAAATAGGGTTTAAAAAAAGTGTTAATGTATTCAAATAATAATTTAAAATCTAATCCTATATCATTGAATTAAATTTTCTGTATAATTTACTCATCTCTCTACTGGCCCCGAAGAAAAAAAACCAAGTCAAACTTGAATTTAAACAAGACAAAATATATTTATCTAAAATATAGAATAAATCTACTTGAATAAAAATTTAATTTCTAAAGTATTTTTATCATCTGAATATTCATTTTTTCTTAACAATGTCCTATTTTACTCTGCACTATCTATTAAATATAATATTTACCAGCTAATTCCTCATCTATAATTATATAGATAAAGTTGAAAGATTAATAAATTCAATTATTAAAATAAAAGAAACATTCAAAATTCATACGATCTATTCAACCACCATTATTTACCTATTTTGATATCTCAAAAAAATGATAATATTATAAACTACATTTCCTACATATTATATAATCAATATTATTGATTCAACATCAATGATAATAGATAATACTATCTATAAATATAGACGTATTTACCATTTTTCCTGTAACTTTATGAATCAAAAGCTGATTTATGCCAAATAAATTTCCATAACAAATTATTAGCCCAACCTATTTTAATAAAAATTATTCAATAACACATACACATAGTTGTCAGGTTACCTGATATCAATGTATTTTATATCTGACATGATTTGAATTATGGTAATGATCTTAAACGGTTCAATTTGAGCTGATTTTAAAAAGCTAACTCAATATTTTTACCAGAAAAATATTGCCTAAAAATCGAGAGGCTAATAGATTCCAAAACGTTGTACTATCTATGAGGGATATCTTCAGTCTTGTGAAATATTTTTTTTAAAATAATATTGAGTTCGCAGTTTTTAAAAATCGGCTAAAATCGCGCAGCACAAAATTTTAGCAATGCTCATCGAAACAGATCCTTAGTAATATCACACAATACAGAAGACAAAAATACAAACATCACCCAAATGTTGGTTAGATTTATTTCAGCAACTCCTCGAGCCCTGAAAATTTCTACCTTATCATATTAAAATTCTAAACATTATATTTACGGAACTGTGAAAATAAAAAAATCAATGGATTTTTTAAAAAAGCGCACGTAATATTAATGCTGTGTCTATCGAAAT